AAGAGTGAGGGAGAGTGACAGAGAGAAAGAGAAAGGGAGAAAATAACCAGGTCCAGACTCGAACTGTCGTCGGCCATGTGGGAGTCCAGCATCCTTAATTGCCACGCCACCCGCCAACCCCTCAATTTCTTTTCATAAAAAAATTAGCTGAGGTGTTATACCAATGTGCGTAAAGTTTATTTCATCAAGAGAACTAGAAACATGTCCTAGTAAACTGCCTGGCAAAGACCTGGTATATTTCTCCCTGGGAGATGAATCTTCCAAGCCATGTGATAGAGATGGAGGGAAGGTCGCTCAGTGGCACGCTTTTGCTTTGCTCTCTCAATTCTGTAGACAGACAGAGAGACTCTCAAAGACAGGCTTACGGGACAATGAGGAATTCTGAGAAAAAGAGAGCACTCATTGGCATGGAGGTTAAGGTGCTGGATCACACATGGCTGTCTACACAGTTTGAGTCCTGGACCCAGCAGCTTGAAAATCTCACCAGGTGTGTGTGCATGTGTGCCCAAAATTCTGAGAGGAGACTGGAGGAGGGGCTCTGCCCCCTGGAGGATGATTCTCTCTCTCTCTCTCTCTCTGCCTCTCTCTGGTGAGCTCACACTCCTTACAGCAAAAACTAAAAGAAAAAAAGAGCACTCATAATTTCGAGGATCTATTGTATTTTAGGTGCTTTATGTCTATTACTTCATGTAGTGTAATAGATATTAGCTTTTCATTTTCCAAGTGAAGACCTCATTCAAGGCCCAGTGAGGTTGCAGAGATGTCTCAGAGCTGACTTCCTTGCACAGAGAGACTTTGCTGTATTCAAAGCTCGTGTTCTTTCCTCGGGACCAGCAGTTGGTGTAATGGCTGTGTCACTGGACTCCCATGTAGTTGACTGCGGTTTGAGTCCCAGGTCTGGTGGCTTAAACTCACGCTAGGCGTGTGTGCGTGCATGCCCAAGATCCCGAGAGGAGAATGGAGGAGAAGGGATTGTGGCGTAGCCATCCCCTCTGGGGGGTGATTTCTCGCTTTATGTCTCTCTGTCTTTCTGGCAAGTGCACGTGCCCTATAGCAAACACTTTTAAAAAAAAAAAAAAAAAGCCCATGTTCCTTCCTAACACTCCGCTGCCTTTTGGGGTTTGTGCAGACAGGTATGGCAGAGGAGGAGACAAAGGAATTCAAGGGTAGGAGTGTTGAAAACAAGTGCCTTATGTTTTCCCATAAACCTGGTAGGAGCATTATTAAAATTTTAAAATTTATTTTATTTTTTTTATCAAAGTAATGGTTATAATTCAATGAGCCAAATGGTATTAAAAGTCGCACAATCTCAGGGCCAGCAGGTGGCATGGAGGTTAAAGCGGCTGAATCCCACACGACCAACTATGTGGTTCAAGTCCCAGACTTGGTGGCTTGAAAAACACACTGGGTCTATTGTTGAGTGAAGTAAGCCAGGCTATGAAAGAAAGATATTGTATGTATCCACTCAATATATACCGACTATCCGCACTCTATGGTAGAGAGCAAAAAATTGGAGGACATAAAAGCAGTGGAGGTACTTAATGAGAATAGGACAGTGTGAAATGGAGGGATGAAGAGAAGAGGATAGAGAAAGATAGCAAGAGAACAATAGAGAGGCAGGACGTTAGTGAGAAACAGATAGGGCTTATTACCTGTTGATGATGACATGTATAGTATTCTCTACTGGATTGGTCTGAGAAGTATTTCATGATGGGCAAAGTCTTTTTACAAGCAAAATGAGAAATAGCGATTGACTGTTTTAGAAAAATAATTAGAATAATAATAATAACTATTGGGGAAAACATAGAAAAGATATTGAATGTTGAAGCGGGGGGATTAATGTCTCTGTATTGACTGACATGCATGGCATTCCCTTTTGAGAAAGCAATGTAATACACTGTAAAGTTATATCTAATCCAATGTAATATGAAGAAGATTATGATGATAATAAAAAATAAAAAAAAAAGAAAAACACACTGGGTGCATGTGCGTGCATGCCGAAAATCTCAAGGAGATTGGAGGAGAAGGGATTGAGGCATGGCCATCCCCACTGTGGGGGTGATTTCTCTCTCTCTCTCTTCAGGGAGTGCATATGCCCTATAGCAAAAATAAATAAATAAATAAGCTAAAAGCAAAACAAAAATAAGAAACTAACCTAAAGATAAAAAGGTCACATAATCAGAAACAGTGGTTTCCACTCTTCCATACCACCCCCTTTAACTTTCTCTACCTCAGCCTCATGCCTAGATAATCCCACTTTTAAACAAAAAATGGCTTCTTCTGTTAACCTTTCTGTTACTAAATAATATATTTGCATTGCTATTTGCTATATGTGTGTGTGTGTGTGTATATATATATATATATTCTTTTCCTGTGTATTGCCAGAAAGAGTATGCATTCACCAGAGGGGAGAGTGAGACGGAAACAGAGACACAGCATCTCCAGAAGGGTTCTCACATACAGTTACAGTCCACCCCCAATCTCAGCCAGCCCAGATCACAGACGTGTGCACACTGGCCTGCCCAGTGAGGCCCTGGGATGTGAACCCAGGACCTTTCCCATACGGATCCAGTTGTGTCACCCCTGCACCACCACCCGGCCCAAGAATCTGAGTGTTGATAAACCAGATGCCATAAAATAAGAAGAATCAAATCAGAACTGAAGATATATTCCTTTTTTTTTTCTTGGAGAGGTTTTTGCTGTAGGGCCCGTGCACTCACCAGAAAGACAGAGAGAGACAGAGAGACAGAGAAACAGAAAGTGAGAAATCACCCATCAAGGGGAGATGGCCACGCCACAATCCCTTCTCCTCCATTCTCCTCTTGGGATCTTGGGCACGCACGCACACGCGCCCGGCGTGAGTTTAAGCCACTAGGTCCGGGACTCGAACCATGGTCGACTAAATGGGAGTCCAGCGACATAGCCATTACGCTAACTGCTGGTCCCAAGATATGTTCTTGAGAGCAAATATATTTTAAAAAATTGATGTGGGACTGTATATTTTACCGTATATTCACACAAATCCCTTACTTTGCAAGAGCGATATTTCTATTTTAGATGGCATCAAAGACAAAAAGAGTCTGATTAAATAGAAAAAAAACACATCTGCATAACACAGTGTCACAGAGGAAACAATTATTCTGACAAACCTAACTGATAAGAGTATACCTTCCAAAGCAAATGATTATTTTAAATCAGGAAGGTCAAAATCCAGATGCTACTAAGAGGCCAGGAGAGACAAATATACAGTTTACACTTGAAGAAAATCAATGCCCAGACTCATTTGTGTCCACTTAGCAAACTATTATTGTTAAGTGTTAAAGAACGTTAGTCGCTAAGAACTGCCAGCACTTACTGAGTATGTGCTGTGTCTCTGGCACTGAAATAAGTGTCTTTTATGGATTACAGGTTGAGTGTCCCTTATCTGAAATGCTTGGGACCAGAAGCATTTTGGATTTTGAAGTTTTTCAGATTTTGGAATATTTTCACATGTATTGTGAAGTATTTTGAGGATGAGACCCAAGTCTAACATGAAATTTGTTTAGGTTTACATACACCTTCTACACATAGCTTGAAGGCAGTTTTATACATTATCTTTGTATGATAGTTTTTTTTTGTTTGTTTTTGTGTTTTTTTTGAGAGATTTTCACTGTAGGGCGCGTGCGCTCACCAGACAGACAGAGACATAGAGACAGAAAGCGAGAAATCACCCCCCAGGGGGGATGGTCATGCTACAATCCCTTCTCCTCCATTCTCCTCTCGGGATCTTGGGCACGCACGCACACGCGCCCGGCATGAGTTTTAAGCCACCAGGTCCGGGACGTGAACTGCGGTCGACTCCGTGGGAGTCCAGCGACATAGCCATTACGCTAACTGCTGGTTCCCTGTATGATAGTGTTTTGACTCTGATCCATCCTGTGAGGTCAGTTGTACATTTTTCTACTGTGGAATCATGTCAGTACTCAAAACGTTTTGGATTTTGGAGCATTTCGGATTTTGGATTTGGGTATTACAGACACTCATTGAAGCCTAAAGTTAGGCAATGTTAAATTTTTTTTTTTTTTACTAATGATAAAACTGAGGCATAAAGAAGTTAAATAATTGCTCAGGATACAAGACAGTCAGTATTTAAGCCTAAGTCTCTCTGGCTTTAGAACCTGTACTCTTAACCATTATACAAAGTGTATGCTACTTACTTTGAGTATATATTATGCACTATGACGTAGTATTGATTACAAAAATTTTAAATAAAAAATAATAGGTCTGTGGTAACCATGAACACATTGTTGGAAGCAACATCAATTGATTTATTCCTCTGGAACTGTTGATTAGTTTATTGTCAAATTTGGGGAGGTTTTGGTTTGTTTGTTCGTTTTTTTTGGGGGGGGAGGGTTTGCTATAGGGTGTGTGCTCTCACCAGAAAGACAGAGACAGAGACAGAAAGCGAGAAATCACCCTCCAGGGGGGATGGCCACGCTGCAATCCCTTCTCCTCCATTCTCCTCTCAGGATCTTGGGCATGCACGCACACGCGCCTGGTGTGATTTTAAGCCACCGGGTCCGGGACGCGAACCGTGGTTGACTGCATGGGAGTCCAGGCACATAGCCATTATGCCATCTGCTGGTCCCTGGGGAGTTTTTTTTTATTATTGCTCCCTCAAATTTTTCTTTTCTGGCTCTTTCTTTCCCTTCTGCCCTTTCAGGAGTCTCATTATATGTTTGTTGGTATGCTTGACATTATCCCATAGATCTCTGAAGCTGTTTCTTTTTCTTCCATCTTCCCCCTCTGTTCTTCATTTTGTATAAACTCTATTCATCTATCTTCAAGTTCTCTGATTCTCTCTTCTGCCATCTCCAGTCTACAGTTGAGCTCATCTGGTAAATTTGTCATCTCTGTTATTGTGATTTTTAACTGTAGAACTTTTCATTTGGTGTTTTCTCATAGTTTATATACTGATAGTCTCTAGTTTTAAAGTCACTGTCATCAGATTTTCTTTTCTTTTTGGAGATTTTTTTTTGCTATAGGGCATGTGCGCTCGCCAGAGAGACAGAGAGATAGAAAACGAGAAATCACTCCCCAGAGGGGATGGCCATGCCACAATCCCTTCTCCTCCATTCTGCTCTCAGGATATTGGACACACATGTGCATGTACCCAGTGTAATTTCCAAGCCTCCAGGCCTCAAACCATGGGGTCGATTGTGGGATCCAGTGACTTAACCTCCACCTGCTGGCCCTATTCCTGAGTTTTTATTTGTTTTAGTAAGTTGTCAGGGTTTGAACTATAGAATCTGTCTCCCCTGTGGTGCCATTAGTCAGTTTTTAGTTCTTTCTTCTGTTTTTTAGCCTTGCTTCCTAAGAGGTTGCTTCCGTTTCTGTGTCATCCATAAGGTTTCTGCTCTCTGTGTGTAGGTTAGGGAACACAGCCAAAATTGCAGCCAGTTTTCTAGTCTCTCAGATCTGGCTTTTTTCCTTTTTGCCAGGCTCTTTCAGACCTTCCCAGGCACGGGCATAGCTTTCCTGTCATCCAGGGTTATGTGGAAGGTTATCTAGTCCTTCTATGGCTCTCTCATTTCCAGGATGTCTCCATTAAACATCTGACTGCTCTGCTGCTCACCCTAGCTGGGTCCACACCCGCAGGCTAGCAAAGCTGAGGATTTATCCCATTCATTTTTCATTTTTCTTACCATGTTTAGCTTATAAAGCTCAAAGGTTTATAAGCTCCAAGAAGAAACAGGGTAGTAACTAGAAGATGACCTAGAGATATTTGATTAGGTGGGAGAAATTATAGCATATTTGTATTTGATGGGAATGAGTCAGTAGGGTAAGGAATATTGATGATGCAAGAGCAAAGTCCTTGCACAGTCCAAAAGGGAAGGAATCCAGGGCACAAGCGGAGGGCAGGTCCTTAGGTCCATAGGGATCGTAAAGGTGGCAGGGCAGAAGAGAGGATACAGATGCAAGTGGTCTGGCGGATGGTGATGAGAGGATACGAGAGGAGAGGTCATACATTTATTTCATCAGAAAGTGGAGGAATGAGTTAACTAGGTTTAAGACTTCTGAGGAATCCTGAAATGTAGAAGCAGAAGTATGTGCAAGAGAACACTTATAGTCTTGGGCCATGGAACCTAAGCTTGGTAGTGGGTGTAGGAGGTAGAAGACGGAAAGCAAAACAGACTAGGGCAAAGCAACTAGAGGTCCCTCTGCAGACCAGGAATAGTTGGAGTGAGGGACAATAGAGTAAGGAAGTGATAGGCTGAGAGTAGCTTGCTTAAAGTCATGATTAAGGGATTAGGTTACTGGTAATGACAAGCCTCAGGTGTGGCTAAGGGATTTGATGGTTGAGGTGAGTGAAAGAAAAGACTGTTGGAGTGAACATTTCAAAAAACGAAGAGAGCAGGGCATTGAGTGGGTTGTTGATGTAGAAGTCACCAAGAATGATGGTGGATGGTGACAAACAGGAAGATGGTAAATTGGGAGCTGACGTCTTCAACAAGAGAGGAGCAAGTGACTGGGATGCTGGTAAAGGACTACCAAGGGTTAGGTATGAACTAGTCTGATGGCACAGGCGGCAGAGGGGCTAGGTCCAAGCAGTGGTCACACTCAGGAGCCAAGAACACCAGATGTTCCATTGCCCTGCTCTCCTTTCTTGCCTCTCTGAAAAGGAGGGCAGATCTGAACTTCCAGTGACCTCCCCGCCTCCAGACGAGAGAATCTAGACAGACATGCTGTGGACTGAAGGAGAGCTTCATCTTCACACTGCCCCTTAGGGGCAGATCCTTGGATGGTGGGAGTCCATAACTGTTTTCCCTTCCTTCTCGAAGAGCAAGTCCTCAGAACTGTCTTTTAGGCTGAATTACAGAATTGGGAAGGAGGAGCGCATAGGTGTTTGTGCATCAAAATAGGTGAAGTTTGATAACAAATTAGTAACAAAAGGATTTGGCTAATTTATTTTTTAGATTTTTTCCTGAAGTCTAGACTTCAGGAACAAGATGTCCAGAGGATACCGACTTCTTTCTACACCCACCTATGCAACCCCTGGGTCTCTCTATTGGGGGTGAGTAACTTTATCTTGATCCTAATTGTCCTTAAGACAGTTCTGATGGAGACGTGTGTGATCTCAAGGGCAAGAGGAGGAGAGAGAGAGAGGGCTTAATTGAAAGTAAAGTGATTAAATAGCCTGTTAGATGAGACTACATATAGCAAGATTTCACTTGATGCAACACTTATTTTAATCAATAATTTGCTTTTTAAATAATTATCTCTGCTCAACTCTGGGATACTACATTTAAAGACACACAAAATTAGTATAATTCCTTCCTAGGGAAGAATATCTTTTTACTGATAATTTTGATTAAAGGGTTACTTTAGGAGGGTCTCTCGCCAAATATCTGCTCAAGTGAGAGGTTTTTTTTTTTTTAAATTATTGTAATAATCAGAAGTTAATGAAAGGGACTGTGATTCTTAAGGCTGTAGCCTTGTGTCTTGCTTACCATGTTGAAAACCATGAGATGATTTGACCACCCTACACTGTGTCCACAGGCTGTTGGGTCCTTTCTCATCATATTTGTGATCCAGTGGGTCTACACCCTGGTTAACTTGGGTGTGGCTGCCATCGTGTATTTCTACATTGGTCAGGCCAGTCCAGGGCTTCACCTTGGTAAGTGCCAGAACCATTTTACCACTATTTCCCTTATTTTCTTTAGCATTCACAGGGGAAAAAATGTTTTGAAGACCTAGTAAATGTCAATGCTAGCTCAGACGCGAATCACATTTTCAAGTAACTTATAGTCTAGGTATAGAACTGTGGCATGTACATACATGATAACAAATGAAAAATAACCACCAATTATCATGAGATTTATAAAATATGTAGAAGTAAAATGGATAAGGACAACAGTACAGGGGCTGGGAGGAATGAAATGGAAATATACTGGATACATTTTTTTTTTTTTTGAGATTTTCACTGTAGGGCGCGTGCGCTCGCCAGACAGACAGAGAGAGACATAGAGACAGAAAGAGAGAAATCACCCCCCAGGGGGGATGGTCACGCCGCAATCCCTTCTCCTCCATTCTCCTCTCGGGATCTTGGGCACGCACGCACACGCGCCCGGCGTGAGTTTTAAGCCACCGGGTCCGGGACACGAACCGCGGTCGACTACGTGGGAGTCCAGCGACATAGCCATTACACTAACTGCTGGTTCCCTGGATACATTTTTTATACTCTATGTGAAATACTGTTAGATTAGTTGAAGGTAGATTATTGTAATTTAGTGGTTCCTTTAGGGTTTAAGATACACATTTTAAACCCAAAAGGAACAACTAAGATAACACAACAAAGAATTATAATATGCCAATGAAATAGAGAGAATTGAACGAAAAAGTACTCAAATCAAAACAAGGCAGAGAAAGATAATAAAAAACATATGAGACAGGACCAACAGTTAGCTTAAAGGCTATGTCGCTCAACAACCATGTAGTTGACCACAGTTCGAGTCCCGGACCCGGTGGCTTAAACTCATGCTGTGTGTGTGTGTGTGTGTGTGTTCAAGATCCCGAGAGGAGAATGGAGGAGAAGGGATTGTGGTGTGGCCATCCCCCCTGGGGGGTGATTTCTCGCTGTCTCTCTATCTCTCTCTTTCTGGCAAGCGCACATGCCCTGTAGCAAAAACCTCTCCAAAAACAAACAAACAAACAAACAAAACATATGAGACAAACCAAAGACAAATAGCAAGATGGTTTATACAAACCTAGCCATATCAATAATAATTCTAAGTGTCGATGGTCTAAACATTCCCAATGAAATGGCAGAAACTGTCAGAGTGGATAAAAAAGCATGATTCAAGTATCTGCTGACTACAAGATCCTCTTTCAAATATGGAGATACAAAAAGGTATAATTTAAAAAGGCAGAAAAAGATACACTCGGCAAAAACTTAAAAAAAAAAATCTGGAGTGGCTATGTTAACGCCAGACAAAGTCGATGTCAAAGAAAAGCATTTATCTAGAGTTGAGGAGGGTCATTTCTTAAAGTTAAAGGAAAAATTTATTAAGATAACATAGTAAGTCTTAACATTTATGTACTTAGGAACAGAGCTTTGAAGTACATGAAGCAAAACATTATAGAACTGAGAAAAGAAATAGAATAGTTCACAATCATATTCAGCGATTTCAATACCTTTCTCCCAACAACAATAAAGCAAGTAGACATAAATCAGCCGTGGGAGACCTGAATATCACTTTCGACAACCTGGCCTCACTGATATTTAGAGTACTCCACCCCAAACAGTAGAACATGTGTTCTTTTCAACTATACATAAAACATTTGCCGGGATAGTCTATATTCTTGGACATAAAAGAGATTTCAATAAATTTTAAAGAACTCAAGTCAATTCAAGAACAAACTATGTTCTTGGGGCCAGCAGTTAGCATAATGGCTATGTCGCTGGACTCCCATGTAGTCAACCGCGGTTCGAGTCCTGGACCCGGTGGCTTAAACTCACGCCGGGCGCGTGTACATGCGTGCCCAAGATCCCGAGAGGAGAATGGAGGAGAAGGGATTGCAGCGTGACCATCCCCCTGGGGGGTGATTTCTCGCTTTCTGTCTCTCTGTCTCTGTCTGTCTGTCTAGTGAGCGCACACGCCCTATAGCAAAAACCTCTCCCCCCCAAAAAAAGAATAAACTGTGTTCTCTAACCGAAAAGAGGAGGACTAAGAAATAAAGAACACAAAGATAATGAAAAAATCTCCAAATATTTAGAAATTTAAAAACACTAAAAAAAAATACAATAAAACGCTGAACAAACTTAGAAACTATATATTATTGGGGTGTGTATATATATATATATATATATATATATATA